AAAGACAACCTGAAAATGCAGAAGCGACTTTGAAACTGGGTCATGGACAGAGGTTGGAACAGTTGGGAGGGCTCAGAAGAAGTTAGAAAGATGTAGGGAAAGTTTGGAACATCCTAGAGACTTCTTGAATGGTTTTGACCAAAAATGCTGATAGTGGTATGGACAATGAATTCCAGGCTGACATGGACTCAGATGGAGATGAGGAACTTATTGGGAACTGGAGTAAAGGTCACCCATGCTATGCCTTACTAAAGAGACTGGGCATTTTGCACCTGCCCTAGAGATCTGTAGAACTTTGAACTTGAGAGAGATGATTTAGGGTATCTGGCAGAAGAAATTTCTAAGCAGCAAAGCATTCAAAATGTGGCCTGGGTGCTCCTAATAGCATACAGCCATATGCATTCACAAAGAGATGGTTTGAAATTGGGACTTATGCTTAAAGGAAAAGCACAGCATAAAAGTTTGAAAATTTTGCAGACTGACCATGTAGTAGAAAAGAAAAACCCATTTTCTGGGGAGAAATTCAAGCAAGCTGAGAAATTTGCATAAGTAACAAGGAGTCAAATGTTAGTAGACAAGAAAATGGGGAAAATGTCTCCAGGGCATGTCAGAGATCTTCATAACAGCCCTTCCAATCACCCTGGAGTCCTAGGACAAAAAAATGTTTTCGTGGGTGGGGGCCCGGGGCCCCCTCCCTTCCCACCCTGCTGCTCTGTGCAGCCACAGGACATAATGCCCTGTATCCCAGATGCTCCGGCTCCAATGTGGCTAAAAGGAGACAAGGTTCAGCTCACGCCATTGCTTCAGAGGATGTAAGCCCCAAGCCTTGGTGGCTTCCACATGGTACTGGGCCTGGAGGTAAGCAGAAGATAAGAATTAAGCTTTCGGAACCTCCTCCTAGATTTCAGAGGATGTATGGAAATGCATGGGTGTCCATGACAAAGTATGCTGTGTGGGTGGACACCTCACAGAGAACCTCTGCTAGGATTGTGGGGAAGGGAAATATGGTGTTGGAGCCCCCACAAGGAGTCCCCACTGGGGCACTGCCTTGTGGAGCTGTAAGAAGAGGGCCACTGTCCTCCAGACTCCAGAATGGTAGATCTACTGAGAGCTTGCACCCTGCAGCTGGAAAAGCTGCAGGCACTCAACACCAGCCTGTGAAAGCAGCTGCAGGGACTGTAACCTGAGAACCACAGAGGAGGAGCCACCCAAGGCCATGGGAGCCCACCCCTTGGATCAGTGTGCCTTGGATGTGAGACACGGAGTCAAAGGAGATTTTGAGGTTTTAAGATTTAATGACTCCCTGGCTGGGTTTTGGACTTGCATAGGGCCTGTGGCCCCTTTGTTTTGGTCAATTACTCCCATTTGGAATGTGAACATTTACCCAGTGCCTATACCCACACTGTATTTTAGAGGTAACTAACTTGTTTTTGATTTTACAGACTTATAGGTGGAAGGAAGTTGCCTTGTCACACATGAGACTTTGGACTTGGACTTTTGAGTTAATGCTAGAATGAATTAAGACTATCGGTGACTGTTGGGGATGCATGATTGGTTTTGATATGTGAGGAACCAGGGGTGTAATGATATGGTTTGGCTATGTCTCCCCCCAAATCTCATCTCAAATTGTAATTCCCACATGTCAAGGGAGGGACCTGGTGGGAAGTGATTGGATCATGGGGTGGCTTCCTTCATGCTGTTCTTGTGATGATGAGTGAGTTCTTAAGAGATCTGATTGTTTGATAAGTGTCTGGTGCTTCCCCTGTGTTTTCTCTCTGGACACCATGTAAGGCATGCCTTGCTTTCCCTTCACCTTCTGCCATGACTAAGTTCCTGAGGCCAAGCCATGTGGGACTGTAAGTCAATTAAACCTCTTTCTTTATAAATTACTCAGTCTCAGGTACTCTTTATAGCAGTGTGAAAATGTACTAACACAGACACCCTGAGACTACATAAAGAGAGATGCCTTATTAGTTCCTACCTGCTTCAGTCCTAGCCAACACTACCTGACATCACATGTCAGACCCCAAGTCAGAACTGTCCAACTAATTCCTTCCTGAATTCTTGATCCACAGAAACTGTGAGAAAAAAGAAAATAATTGTTGCTATTTCGAGTCACTAAGATTTCGGGCAATATGTTATGCATCAATAGGTAACTGGAATCCTTACAGCATGAAAAACTATGAAAAGTAATTTCACTTTTCTATGTATTAAAGTGGAAAATAAAGAGAACTAAAATAACATTTTATATCCAATTTGGATAATATATTTGATTATCATATACATTATTGGTATCTTGAAAATATTATTCAGAGCGTCCTCATTTTAGTAGAGCATATCTGAAATTGCTGACATCATGTAAATTTAAGATCCTATTTATCCAGCTTAATGAGGCCTTTATGTGTGAATTTTTAAAAAAAATTTTTCTGAGACATGGTCTCACTCTGTGACCCAGGCTGGAGCACAATGGCACAACCACTGCTCAGTGTAGTCTCAACCTCCTGGGCACAATCCTCCCACCTCAGCCTCCTGAGTAGCTGGGACTACAGGTACTCACTACCAAGCCCAGCTAATTTTTCTGTTTTTTATTTTTGTAGAGATGGGTTTTTGCCATATTGCCCAAGCTGGTCTTGAACTCCATAGCTCAAGCAATCTGCCTTCCTCGTCCTCGCAAAGTGCTGGAGTTACAGGCAGGAACCGCCATGCCCAGCCATTAATGAAGTCTTTATATACTACATCATGGCTATCCTATTTAATTTACAGTATTATAGAGAAAATAAATAAAACAGCCAGGAGCGATGGCTCACACCTGTAATCCCAGCACTTTGGGAGGCTGAGGCAGGCAGATTACCTGAGGTCAGTAGTTTGAGACCAGCCTGGCCAACATGGTGAAACCCCACCTATACTAAAAATACAAAAATTAGCCAGGCATAGTGGCACGTGCCTGTAATCCCAGCTACTTGGGGGGCTGAGGAAGGAGAATCGCTTGAACCTGGGAGGTGGAGGTTGCAGTGAGCCAAGGTTGCACCATTGTACTTCAGCCTGGGTGACAAAAATAAATAAATAAATAAATAAAATACTTGGATATCTGATTTTGCCCTTTAGATATGAATGGGATAAGTTTTATCATTTATTAAAGTGTTTAATGCTAGCAGAGAACACTGGTAATTCTAGGTTTTTTTTAAAAATTGCCTAAATAAACAAAACTATTTGTCATGAAAGATGTTTGAAGGTAAGTAAATTCACCTAGTGAGCTTCAATGTAAAAGCAAACACAAAAGTTATTTTTTATCATCCTGATGTAGAGTTAACAAATGTTGTGGAAGACCCTAACAATGTTCACACAATAATCCATATGTATGAGAGTAATCACTCCATTGAAAAGATGAAAAATTACAGAACCAAATCTGAAATTACCTTAAATTGTTAAAGCAAAGCTCTGAAATGACCCAGCTCAAATAAAGACACAAGTCTGATGAATGCATTGGTGTCTATTAGGTCACTATAGTGTGCCAGTCTACTCTAGAGGCAGCTATTTGTTCCCAAGTTTAGTGGAATCAATCCCAAAACTATACAAAATTTATTATTATTATTATTATTATTATTATTATTATTGAGACAGAGTCTCGCTCTGTCCCGGCTCACTCCACTTCCTGGGTTCATGTGATTCTCCTGCCTCAATCTCCTGAGTATCTGTGATTACAGGCGCTTGCCACCATGCCCGGTTGATTTTTGTATTTTTAGCAGAGATACAGAGTTTCACCATGTTGGCCAGTTGGTCTTGAATATATGAAATTTAAAAGTACTCTATGACAAAGAAACCTAAAGTGACAAACCTTTCATATCTTGGTAACATTTGTAAGAATCACAGAATGTGAAATAATAACAAATACATTATTCCAAATGAGAACTAAGAAATCATAATGAAAATAGAATTAATCAAAAGGAAATTAGAATTCTAGGAAAAGTCCCAAATTACATAAAAAAAATAGAACAAGAAAGAAAAGTAATTTGGGAATGAAATAAAATGAGGAGACTATACAGGCCATGATTCAAATCGCATAGAATAACTGTGGTCAAAAGGAGCAAAAAGATCTATTTAGCTAACGAAGAATAATCATAAAGTTATTTTCACCCTAAAATTTATAGTATTAAATGTGAACTCTTATGAATTATATGATTATCAATTATAGGATGAAAAATGTTTATCTGATACAAGAAAATAAACAGGATATACATCTTACATGTCTAAATCTTGATTACATATTCTATAATGCGTTACAAAATAAAAAGCTAATTTAAAATATTATATATTTCAACTCTTGTCATGGTCTGCTAAAAAGGAAAAAAAAATTGGGATTCTGCAGAAAGAAACATGCAAAAGTAAACAAAAAATGCCTATAATTTTAAAACATTGGGTTTTTTCCACACAAATCCTGAAGTGTCATAAAAATAAAAATTGAAAGCAAAGACATGAAGAAACTGCTAGGAGGCAAAGCAATGTTGGTGATGAAAAGAACAAAAACACTTGGACAGGCCCAGCTAGAACATCTATTACCCATAATTTCCACAAGTCTTTAAAAATGTAAGGATGAAGGCAGAAATGACTCTGGCATATAACATCAACGTTATGTCATCAATATTAGTTTCAAAACTACAAGATATTTACAGATAAAAAACTTGATTCCATTTGCTTCTAATTGATTTGGTCTAAGATAACCCTTACATATAACCATCAAGTTCATAATGTTGTTAAAAAAGCCTTAACTTTTCAGACATTCACTCTTCTATGTTTGGTTTTTTATTTCAAGTGAAAGGAATTAGTAGCTCAACCTCAGTGATATAATCAACATGATGTAATACTATATGATGCCCATTATGGCATTATAATCATCGGAAACAAAATCTACGAAAATCCAGTCAGTATGTTTTATTGATGGTTGAAGATTCTTTTTGTTGTAGAGTTCTCCTCCCTTTAAAGGAATTTATAACATAACTTACCTGCAAACGAACAATTCTCTCAAATATATCTCCTCTCATGCTCATCTCAATATCGAAACGAGAAAGTCTTTTGTCTGCTTCTGTACTTGCTGCTCGTACATCTTTGTCAGAGGATACGTGCTGGGGAAAATCCAGCATGGTCCTTTCCACTGCGGATGGCGAAAAAAACTATTACCACAATAGGACTTGTCAAATCAGTATTAAGCCAAATACCTCATACACAGATGAATGACCATGCCAATAAAAGTTTTTTTTTTTTAATACTTTCTCTAAAGGCTCCTAAGGCAACCAAGAAAAAGCATCTAATGTAGGACTTACCAATTCTAGTTGGCATCATTATGAACAGTAAGGATGTGAGCTGACCACCTATCATTGGGGTATAATTTTTTTTTTTTTGAGACAGGGTCTTGCTTTGCCACCCAGGCTGGAGCGTAGTGGTGCAATCACAGCTTACTACAGCCTCAACCTCCCAGGCTCAAGCAATCCTTCTGCCTGAACCCCTCCCCCTGTTCCCCAACATGACTGAGTATCAGGGACCACAGGCGTACACCACCATACTCAGCTAATTTTTGTATTTTTTGTAGAGATGGGGTTTTGCAATATTTCCCAGGCTGGTCTCCAACTCCTAGGCTAAAGTGATCCTCCCTCCTCAGCCTTTCAAAGTGTTAGGATTACAGGCGTGAGCCACTGCACCCAGGCTGAGGGTGTAATTTATCAACTGGCAATGAAGGAAGATAAAGACACAGTTCCTTTACTGAGGTATCCTAGGATCTGGGATTTGGAAAGGGTACCTAAAATGATAAAGACTTCACAGAAAATCGAATCAAAGCAATGGCCCCTATCGCAAATGCACACATGAAAAAAAATATTCAAAATTCCAGACAATTTCAAAGGATTCACAGAAAGCAAAGTGGACACATCCAATAAATAGCTAGACATTGGAGACATTCCTGTGAAATAATGATGGTAATTTAGTTTGGCTTAATCTTCACATATTACAATTGGTTCTTGGATTTCTCATAAATTTGCATTTTAACTTTAATTGGGCAAAAATCTCTGATGTCAGTAAAATAACCAATACTACAAAACAAAAATAAGTATGGTTTATAGTGATGGTTGTGGCCATGAAAATAAGTACATTTTTATTTAATTAACTTTAGTATTGTAAAGGTATTATAAATAGTAAAACTTAGATATGATATCCAGTAGACAGTAGAGCTATCCTTTATACAGCAAGAAATCACACAGTTAAACAACCGCCTCACTCGTATCAGTCCTCTTCAAACATTGCTACAAATAAAGCTATTAGAAATATCTGCCACAGGTGTCAGAATAAATCCATAAGGTATATTTTTGAAAGATCAAATTATGAAATTATGCTTTTAGGATTTAATATATAATTTTATGTATGTCGGTTAAGGAAAGAAAGGAATAGAAAATTTTTAAAGTTAATATATACAGCACTTATTTAAGTGATATTGGTTAACTATATGGTTGCAATATATTTACTTTCAGAAATTAGCTATAAAACAGTGGCTCACACCTGTAATCCCAGTGCTTTGGGAGGCCGAGGTGGGTGGATCACCTGAGGGCAGGAGTTCGAGACCAGCCTGGGCACTGCACTCTAGCCTGGGCAACAAGAGTGAAACTCTGTCTCAAAAAAAAAAAGAAAAATAGCTATAAAAGATATTAAGAAGGAATCAAAATTGTTCAAAAACTTACATAAGCAATATCAAACGCAGGAGCCTAAAATTAAAAACATAATCTTAGCCGGGCGCAGTGGCTCAAGCTTGTAATCCCAGCACTTTGGGAGGCCAAGGCGGGTGGATCACGAGGTCAAGAGATCGAGACCATCCTGGTCAACATGGTGAAACCCTGTCTCTATTAAAAATACAAAAAATTAGCTGGGCATGGTGGCGCATGCCTGTAATCCCAGCTACTCAGGAGGCTGAGGCAGGAGAATTGCCTGAACCCAGGAGGTGGAGGTTGTGGTGAGCTGAGATCGTGCCATTGCACTCCAGCCTGGGTACCAAGAACGAAACTCCGTCTCAAAAAAAAAAAAAAAAAAAAAAATCTTAAACAAATGAAAATGCTGAAAGCCATTTCCTTCCTTATTTTGCCACAAAGACCTGGAACCAGATTTATGCTCTCACTGCCAACTATAGACAATGCCCAGTGCCTGACATTAGACAACCAATGTTTCACCAGCTACTGCAAGAGGCATAATTGACTAGGAGAATACGCTCAGATAAGAGAAAGTTCGTTTTTAAGAAATCTATTCCCAAACTCAAAAATTTAGATAACCCACAAAAATAAATTTATAGAACAATAACAAATATCACAAACTTGAAAGTATGCTGAAAAGATCTATTATTGAGAGAAAAACCATTTAAAATAATTATTTAAAAAAGATTTTGTTTGAGCCAGCCATGGTGGCAGAGATCACATCTGCAATCCCAGTGCTTTGTGAGGCCGAGGCAGTGAGGGAATGTGTTCTCTTTCCGAGTCCACAGGGAGGCGTAGTTTTAAGGGCAAGAATTTCTTAGCGCCATGCCCCTCTCCCATCTCTCTCCATCCAGAAGATTTAACGGTTTACGTTTAAATTTCACAGGCACGGGAAGAAACTAAGAGTCAATCACTGTAGCGGAAGTTCTAAGGAACTCCTTTCATTGGCCTGGGGTCGTAGAGAAGGTGGGGGTTCTTCCCAGGTTAAAAATCCCCTTCCTCCACACCCCTTTGGACTCCGTGTTTGGGGCTCCTTCCATGAATACTCCCTTCGTGGAAGCCATCTTTCTTTCTCTCGCCTGGATTTTCCTTCTGGAGTCCCCTTCCACACTCTTGTGGAAGCCTGTCTTCCCCTCCCAGACTCCATCTCTCTCTATTCCCTAACACTCTCGTGGAAGCTGCTTTCCGCTCCTGGATTCCATCTTTCTGGATTCTCTCACTCAGGGTGAGAGTTAGCTGTTTCTTTCTCTCTCCTTCTCCTGTTTCTCTCTCTCTTTAAATAAATCACTTTCTACAAACACTTTTGAGTCCGGCATTTACTGTGCACTGTGCTGTGGTCCCCTCTCTCATTCTTGAGAGGGCAGGAGACCAAGAACCTGGAGAAATGTCCTTCCAGAGGAGCTGAGGACACCCTGAAGCCCAATATTACAGCAGTAGGATCACTTGAGACAACAAATGGGCAACATATGTGAGACCTCAACTCCACACAAAATTTAAAAATTGGCTGGGCATAGTGGCACATGCCGGAAGTCCCAGCTACTCAGGAAGTTAAGGCAGGAGGATCTCTTGAGCCCTAGAGTTTGAGGCTGCAGCGAGCTAGGATTGTGCCATAGCACTACAGTCTGGGTGACAAAGTGAGACCTTACCTCAAATCCCTAAGTTATGGGTTGGCACACCATCTTGGCCACAAGTGACTGAAGAACTGAGCACCTGAACCAAGGACAAACCACATCCAGGATGGTATGTGCACATGAAGTCGCCAGCTGGAAAAGCTCTGCTAAACAGGGACCAACTCCACCCCTTTGACTAATGAGGACAACCAGATCCTTTTATTCAGGAGTTTAAATTCAAGACATGTAATAAGATCTGGTAGCCATTTATGAAAGTGAAGCAGTTGGTAGTAGGAGCAGAAACTAAAACAAAGCTGAGATAAGAGAAAATAGCCAAGTCCTTTTTACAGTGAAACATAGAGTAGAGAACTCTTGGAGATGAAGGGATAGTTGGGGCAGGGAGATGACCAGGTCACTAGGGTTTTGCTGGATTCTGACAATCTTTCAAATTCCAAAATGCACACAAATATCTATGATATCCAGTTCTGCAGCTATCTTACATTTTCTTATGAAGCTTGGATATACAGCCAAGGTTGTTTGTCATAATTATTCTACAAAATATGTCCAACCCTTAGAAATATAAAAATAATGTATGTCAGGGCAAAAAATACAGAAAATAAATGCATAAAGAAGAAGGTAAAAATTAGCTATAAATCCATCACCCGATATATTAAACATTCTGATCATTCATCTTATGTGTTAACTTGGAGGGTGTTTTTGATGACATTAAAATTAGAGTGGCAAGCCTGAAGTAAAGCAGACTGCCCTCTATATTGTGGTGGCCCACATTCAATCAGTTCAGGGCCTGAACAGAACTAAGACTGGCCTCCCTGAATAAGGGAGTTTTGCAGACTGCCTTCATACTTCTGCACTATTGGCTCCTCTGGACCTCCAGACTAGAGCTGGGATATCGGCTCTCCTGGGTCTCAAGCCTACCAGCCCACACTGAGATTCCGGACTTTTCGGCTTCCTTAATCATGTAAGCCAATTCCCTATAATCAATCCATCAATCAGTCTCTCTCCCCACAAACATATATATTTACATATATGGACTTACACACACACACACACACACACACACACACACACACACACACACATCCTATAGGTTCAATTTCTCTGGAGAATCCTAAGATAACCATTGATAAAATTTGTTTTTTTTTCTTCCAGTTCTTCTGTGTCCTTTTCTCTATGTCATTAAATAACTGCTTGTAAACCATGATTTAAATGGTTATACAGCATTACAGAGGATGGATGTTTCATAATTTATTTATCTAATCTATTGGTTGACATTTGGGAATTGTTTCTAAGCCTATGATATGACAAGAATACCTATTTATACATAAATTGATACATTAATTTTGCCTATATATTATATTCTTAGAATAAATGTCTAAATTGATACATGAATTTTGTCTATATATGATTATTTTCTTAGCATAAATGTCTAGGTGTGGAATTAATGGGCAAGGGTATGAATGTCTTAGAAGTTCTGACACATTGTCAAAATACTCTCCAGAAAGCAGTGTAATGACAGTGTACATTTTATAGCACCTTTGCCAACATAATACAATTTAAAAATCTGTAATTAATTATTATATAAAAATCAATGCTTGTAAAACTGGAAAAGTGAAGGAGAGAAAGCATGAAATGATTTAAGTGAAACGCTGTGCTTCTATCCGACCCACCTATATACTTCACTTCTACATCTGCCAGGGCCTGCAGACAGTTCTCATAAGTTACTTCCTCAATACTGAGCATTCCAACAGCATCGTACACCTGTTTGGTCTGCACAATGAGCTCTTCGGTTCTTGTTTTAATTTGCTCTGGTGAAAGATCCCATCTTAGAACGTTTCTGCCCGCGGCAGTATAGGAAGACATTGCCTGAAGAGGAGACATCACTTCTCTTCCTAATGTCATTCTGAATAAAATCCTGGAACCACCAACTCTAAAAAGAATCAGAAAAAGAATAAGAGTTAGGGATTTCTGTTGGTCCAAAGTCAACATATGAATGGGCATTATAAAATTAAATTTTAAATGAAAAAGAACGTTTTTAAAAAAACAAGCAAATCCTCTCAGGTAAACACATATGCACAATTCTAAGTGCCCTTGTATTTTCTATTTTTCTTGCATAATTACAAAGTTTTAATGAAATTTGTATAATTCAAACACTGAACTGTTTATGTAATTAAATAATACAGAAAAATAAAGTCAGATGTTGGAGATATAATAATTCTTTTGTAAATTAAATCAGTAATCTTCCCTGCTGTCTTTTGAGACAGAGTCTCTCACTCTGTTGCCCAGGCTAGAGTGCAGTGATGCAATCATAGCTCACTGCAGCCTCGACCTCCTGGGCTCAAGTGATCCTTCCACCCCAAACTACCAAGTAGCTGAAACTACAGGGACACACCACCATTTCCAGCTAATTTTAAAAAATTATTTGTAGAGATGAGGTTTCCCTGTATTGCCCAGACTGGTCTTAAACTTCTGAGCTCTTGCAATCCTCCTACCTTTGCCTCACTGGGATTATAGATGTAAGCCATGGCACCCGCCAGTTATCTTTTTTATTTTAATATTTTTCCAGTGCTAACTTCCACCTACTATGTACAAAGATTCAAAAAAACTTTTCAAGTTTAGCAAGAAAACATTTCAAAACTTATTTTCACGAAACTAGATACAGTACATGCTTGGTATTAAAATTGGTATACTGAACACGAATTTTTTAAACCAAAATGTCATGTAAATTAGAATGACAATTTGAGTTTAAGACTTGGAAAATAAATTCTGGGATAGCTATGGCATTACCCTAAAAAAAAAAAAGAATAAAGAAATTATTAAGAATAATGATAACAGTCTTTATTCCCTTAAAACATTCAAGCTACTAATACTGATGCCATATGTTTCTCTCTATCAATCCATATATATATTTTTATATATATCATTTTAGGACTTATAAATAAAATGTTATATTTAGTAGCTAACATTTATTGTGTGTTTAGGAATGGTTCAAAATATTGTCCATGCAGTAACTCATTCAGTCCTTTAGCCACCCTCTGAGTTATAGACTGCGGTTAGTCTTATTTTACTGAAGAGAAAATTAAAACACAGAGAAGTAACTTGCTTAAAGCCACACGGCTAGTTGTAGGGTCACAGATAGGATTAAAAGCCAGGCAGTACTGATCCAGAACCCATACTCTTAACCGCTATGATAAGCTTCATTTCTGTTATCTTACAGGACCCCAAAACAACCTTCTAAGGTAGGGAAGGCATCACTTATTCCCTTCTAATGAAGAAATTAAAGCCTCAGAGAGGCTAAGTGACTGTTAAGGCCATTCACCCAGCTAATATTTATAAGCACGTACTGTATCTAGTTACATGATAGGCAATGGGGATAAATGGCAAATTGTCTTGGACACTAACATTCTAATACAGTAGAAAGGACAAATGGATAAACAGGCAATTATACCACACTGAGATGAGTGCTACGACAAGGGTAAGCAGAGAGAACTCCGAAAGACCAAAGAAGGGAACCTCTTTCTGGTCTTGGAGCAGGCGGAATGTATGTTAAGAAAGATTTTCTAGAAAGAGCAACTAACAAACCAACATTTGAACAATGTGTAAGAAGGGGAGAGAAGGCTGAAAAGGTAAGTAGGGACTAGCAAATCAAGAGCCTTGGGAATCATCAGGTAATCCAACCTTGGCTGGGCACCATGGCTCATGCCTATAATCCCAATATTTTGAGATGCTGAGGTAGGCAGATTGCTTGAGGCCCAGTGTTTGAGACCAGCCTGAGCAAAAGAGTGAAGCATTGTCTCTACAAAACATTAGAACAACAATGACAACAACAAAAAACTCCCTCAAACGTCCAAGCTTATTCTGAAGGCAGTTTGAGAGTCATTGAAGGGTTTTAATCAGGTGAGAGATAGAAGATTTGTGTTTTAGAGAAATTACTCAAATTATAATGAGTTGAAAGGTTTGTAAAAGAGATCATTCAAGAGAGAAGTTGTTCTTGGGGCTGTATTTGGGGCTCACGATGAAAGTATACTAAGTTAGGAAACGGGGAATCGGAATGAGTTAAAAGATATTCAGGAATCGGCCGGGCGCGGTGGCTCAAGCCTGTAATCCCAGCACTTTGGGAGGCCGAGGCGGGTGGATCACAAGGTCAAGAGATCGAGACCATCCAGGTCAACATGGTAAAACCCTGTCTCTACTAAAAATACAAAAAAAATTAGCTGGGCATTGTGGCACATGCCTGTAATCCCAGCTACTCAGGAGGCTGAGGCTGGAGAATTGCCTGAGCCCAGGAGGCAGAGGTTGCGGTGAGCCGAGATTGCGCCATTGCACTCCAGCCTGGGTAACAAGAGCGAAACTCCGTCTCAAAAAAAAAAAAAAAAAAAAAAAAAGATATTCAGGAATTATATATACTCCACAAGACTTGGAAAGGAGGTTTTCTGGGGAAAAAAACAGAAACTCAATTTTGGACGAGCCAAGTTTGAAGTGGCTACAGTACATGCAAGAGGAAGTCATTAATATTAAGTGGTTATGGTACTTACATGAGTACCCAAGGGAGTTTGCAGAGTGAGAAGTGAAAAGCATTGAGGCCCTAACTCTAGTATGATCAGTGAGGTAGAAGGAACATTAGGCCAAGATGGGTTCTAAGAAGTTGTGACAAGTAAGCAGTGAAAACAGTACCAACTGTACAGATGTTGAGAAAAACTGAAAAGTCTTCGTTGAATATAGCAGCAGAATGCCATTGATGACTAGCAAAAGCAGTGTTAAGGGAGCAGCAGAGATATAGGTCAGACTACTATGATGGAGGAATAAGAAGGAAATGACGAACTGGAGAGAGTACGCCTAGGCAATTCTCTGGATTTGTCCATGAAAATAAGGAGAGCTAATGCAGTGTGGCTGGAAAGGGCTGAGACACAGAATAGATACATTTTTTAGATAGGAGAGACTAAATATTGACCTCCTCAACTTCCTCTCCACAAGAACTCATGTCCACATACTAGTTGATGCTTACAACTCAAGGTTGCCAGGCTATTTTCTAATACATTTTCACATTTCTTTTTCCACGAGTTGAGTTACATACGAACCAATGGTTAAGCCTGTTGTTCCAAAACCTGTTCATGCCTGTTATGCTTACCTTCATGTAATTTAAATATTTGACTGATTAAATGTATACAAAATTTAAAAACTGTTATTCTAGGATAGATAAAAGGTTTTAGAAGTACTTTTAAAAAGAGAGCTACAAAAAAATAAAATAAAATAAAATAAACTCCCACAAAAAGCTTGTTCTTATGAAAGACTGGGAAAGGCACTGTGACAATTCAGAAGGCTTCTGAATTCATATTGCTTATATGTTTCTTTACGTTCATGTTCTACTTTCAAGAAGCTGAAATTGAAAATCAAAGATGAGGCATTAAAGGTATAGTTTGTAGAAGGACAGCGAGGATTCCCAATCAAATCATTTATAGTTAACAAAAGGACTTGGTTTTAGATCAAAAGATTTGGGAATAAATATACACTTATGTTTTAAATTTGCACAAAATATTTAAGATATTTATCATAGTTATGATTCTACTTGAAACCATTTTAAAAATTACATTATGAAGATATTTAGAGTGAGATCCCTACAAAGATAGGAAGAAATGTAATATAAAACATGAGCAGAGCAAGGTTTTAGACAGAAAGAGAAACTATAGTCTCAGTAAAATAAATAAAACAGTAAAATGAGTAGTCAGGTTATAGTAAAAATGTGAGATAGTTGAATTTAAGACCTCAAGGGTTAAGCAGGTTTTTTGCAAGAGTGTAAGAAAACAAGAGTCTAGTTTGGGTAAACTGCCTATATGAACGCTGGAGTCCAGCAGGTTGATGGTGGAGCCTGGGAGTAGAAAGGAAGACTGAAGCAGGAGCCCAAGTATCTGAAGAAGAAACTCCCAGCTGATTGGGAGAGACAACATGAGCAGGATATCAAATGGGAAAACCAGATCATGAGCCTCAAAGGTGTTTTTACACAATGGTGAAGAAGTGCTGGACATCACGGCCATGGTGAGTGGAGGTGGCCTCTGGGGAACAAGAAGATACTGATCTGATCTTTCGTCCTTACTTTGTGGTATGGGGTGTGGGAGGAAGAGGGATGCACGGGAAATATTTTTGTCAGGGTTCAACGGATTTTAGAAGAGGTCAGGAAGAGAAGGGAAGATCCGGGGAAGAGTATGAAAAAGTAGAGGAGTTTATTTATCACAGGACAAGGGTTCCAGAAATAACAATGGAGACATCAGTGGAGCAGACGGTTCAATACACATTGTCTAGCCATTCACCTCTTCCCCTATCTAATCATATGCACGTCTTCCTCCCAACACTCATGCACCCCCAAACAGTTCATGTTCTTTGAAGGTAGCTGCCCCTACCCTCAGTACTCTTGCTTGGAATGCTGTGAGAGAAGGGGGTCTCATTCCCACTAAGTGTGAGTACCCTTGTATCCTTGATTGCACCTGGCAGTCATTCTATGAGAAAGAGTAGAATCTGATTTATGATAAAACAGACACTTTGAATATCAGAATAAAGGAGGAAACCAAGTATTTAAAGACATCATAGAGCTCATAGATCAACTAATTCTAAGGCCTGACCGTTCCAGTTACAAGTCAGTAAGTCCTCTCTATGGTGAAGTCTGTTAGAATGGGGTTTTATATTATCCTCATAAAGGATCTTACAGATAAAGGAATAAGTATATGGAAAAACCAACAGTATGAAGGTCAGAGTACAAGAAATGGCAGAGGAGTAGAAGGTCTCACATACTTGGTGTTGGCACAAAATAATAAAGATGTAAAGTTCAGTTTATATAGTTGGCTAAAAATTTCCAAAATAATTATTTCTGCCAACAGAGGCCACTACGAAAGAGTCAGTCATGGCCATGACAGACTGTACTGTCAAGAAAGCCCCAGT